AATATTGGCCCCAGAATTATTACTCTCACTCTGGTGCACACGGTGATACCCAACATGTGTAGTGCATGCATTTGCAGAGGACTTTACAAATATTTTTTGCTATTTGAAAATGTATTTTAACTTGAGTTAAAAAAAAACTTTGATAAATGAAATCCCCTATGTGATAGCATATTAGTGGTGGCAGGTGCTCTTTAAGGTGACATTAGGGTCTTCTCTAGCTGGGGAATGACAGCTGAGAAGGCAGAAGTGATGCAATCAGCGTCGCTTCCAGCTTCATTCAGCAGGAAGGAGATTCACGAATGCGGCCCACAGCCAATGCCATAAGGGATACGGCCCTGGCAGAGAAAGGGTTAAAGGCATAGTCCACATTTTACAAAAAAATAAATACATACGCATTGAAGAAAGAAAAAAAATGTGCAATTATTACTGTTTTGCACTGGAGCCTGCACGGTGGGTGCAAAGCACAGGCTCCTCCAGCCTCAGGTTCATACTGAGGTAGTACTGAGGAATTTATCAATGGACTGCAAGCGCAATGAAATCACCACGCTCCTGCTCCATTGAGATCTACAAGACCTTGGCTGTGCGTGGTCGATAAGAACTAATATAGAGGGGTATAACCTGTTTAGGAGGGACAGAGGTGGGAGAAGAGGGGGGGGGTGTTTGCATTTACGTAAAAAATAATCTATATGATCAGGTAAATAGCTGGGGGGGTGCTTTGAGGGGGGCGAGGAAATGTGACCCTCAATAATGTTACACCCTCAATATGAAAACTGCAGTATGTTTTTAAAGTCAGCTGAATGAAGTCTTTTAAAACTACAACAACATTTGGTTTACAAGTGGTTTAAACGACTACTAGCACAATTTAAAAAATACTGTGGTAACTTATAATAATTCCAGGATTCTGTTTAGTTTTCTACTTATTTTATTTACTTTGTTTTCAGCTGGTAGAAGAAGGTCAGAAGCTCTAATGAATTTATTGCTGTTTGTGTTCCCATTGGAGGATGTCCTTACTTCCTGTCCTAAAGACATTGGTCACTGGCACAGGAAGTGATCAAAATCTCTTCAAAAAGAAGATTTGGGTAGTAAAAAAAAATGCATTTGGTAAAGAATTGTAAATTCAGTTTGAGCTCCTCAGTTCCTGTCTCATAAGGTAAAACATCCCCAGCGTGGACATGGAGAGCACTAAAAACATGGCAGATAAGTTAACCTTTTTGCACACAACTAAATGAACAAAGAAATATTTATTTTATACTTTTTTATTAACGTAGATAGTGCTTCTTCAATTCCTGTTGTCCACATGTCGCTATTCCCATCCAATTTGTAATGTTGCCACCACACATGGGTAATTATTATTTTCCATATCGTTGTCAGTACACAACATAGATCTTGTGCCCAATAAAATAGTCTCAAATGCAAAAAACATAGTCTACACATTGTGTACAAAGCTTAGTTTATGGATATCATGGTGATATTCAAATCCATACGTAGAGCTATAGTACGGTAATAACATCAACAGACACACTGAGGCTGATATAATAAAGGAGCTGAGAATCTTTAATCCAAAAAAAAAAAAAAGTGTTTACTTCAACTATCTAATTATATAAAAAGCAAATTCCCATTACTGTTTATTATTTTGATCTGCACATATTGGATAATTGAAATGATCACTTGTCACTTGTTCCCATGTCAGCTGTCTAAGAGCTGATTTCCATCACATTGACAATATATACTCTCACTTCCTGTTGAGTTTAAAGCAGTGGCTTATCCGGGGTATGGCACAAGCCCTGGGCGCCACTTGAAGGGACAACACCGCTTCGTGGGTCAGCGAACGTTCACCAACCCATAGAGACAGCTGACTTTTTCTCTCTCCCCCACCCCTCTTCTATACACATCTCCCTGCCCGGCTCTTAGCAACCTGGGATGCTCTGGCTGACATCACGCCCAGTACCTAGCAACCAGTGATGTTACTGATTGCCAGGAGCAGGGCGGGATGCAGGCCAGAGCATCACAGGTTGCTAAGAGCTGGGCGGGGAGATGTGCATGTGAGCGGGATGCTGGCCAGAGCATCCCAGTTTGCTAAGGGCTTGGTTGGGGCAGGGCTGTAGCTACCATGGGGCGAGTGAGGCACTTGCCTCAGGTGCAGCTGAGAGAGGGCGCAGCCAGGGCCTTGCCCTGCTGCAATGGTGAGCGCAGGGCACCATTGGCAACAGGGGCGCCAGGTGGCCAACACGCCACGGCTCAGGAGGGAGAAGAGGAGCGGCACATGCTCCAGTTTCTCCTCTGATCCCCGCTGCTCTCCCCCACCTGTATGGGCAGACCCCCAATATTTCCCCAAAGCCCCCCAACAGTAAAAAAAACCACATACACAACCCACACCCCCCCACACACACACACGCAAACATATTACTAGACATGTGCAGAGACTAAAAATTTGTTTCCGACTAAATGGACGAAAACTAAAAATGTTTTCATTAGTTTCGTCAAACGAAACATATTTTTATGCTATTTTGGATTTGGCCTCCAAAGCATTCTGCGCGTGCGCCGCCATCCTGGAGGCGAGGCGCATGACATCACATACCGCAAAAGTCTGTTGGGGGGCACAATTTTCTGTTCTTGCCTCGGGCGCAAAAGGAGCTAACTACGGCTCTGGGTTGGTGAGATGTGAATGGCCTGTACACATCTTCCTGTCCAGGTCTTAGCAACCTTGGACATTCTGGGTGGCGCCTGCCCAGCTCCTGGCAGCTAGTGACATCAATGGTTAGCAGGAGCTGGGCAGGACGCCATAGGCGCACTTTGTTGTAGATGCGCCTTTGGTCTACAGGGACAGGTCAACATGGATTTTTATGGTGACATAAATGACAAAAACTTGCATCGTCCCTCCTTCAAGGAGGCACAAGTGAAAATACTTTAACACTTCTCCCAATTGTAGTGTGTTGGCAGACCATTTCTTTATGAACGCAATGCACGTAGCATTCACACACCATATCGCTAAATTGTGAATTAGTCCTCAGGGAAACCTTTTGGGAGAAAAATATGAAGGCTGCCCTTGCCGATCTTCCCAAAAAGCCAAGGAGGGACGCATGCAAAGAGAGATCAGCAATGGCTGCCTCCATATTTCCATGAACACATTTCCTTTAAAAATCTGTACTTTGCTTATTTAGAGCTTGATAGCCCACCCCCTTCACCACTGATACCTACCTATTTTACCCTGAATGCAGAACTTTGAAAGAAAACTAGGATGTATGTTGGGTTATTGTGTTTGTGTCAATGGTATATTATAGTGCTTTTGTATTTATTATGGTCAGCACTAAAAGGAATAAATAAATAGCATACATGGCACATAGTCACCCCAAATAGGGTAAATATCCCCATAAGGAATACACACATATCTGTCAGAGAATATAACATGTGTCCACTGAACCCAAAACAAGTTTTAGCTTTAGCTTAAAGTATATCTAAAGGCAAGAAAAAGTTTGTCCATTTTAGATCGAGTAGGGAAGGGCTAAGGCCACTGTGAAAGTGCCTGCGCTGGCGGCAACAAGAGTGCCTGCGTTGGAAGGATTAAATACCAATAAATGACCAAACTAGAAGCAATAGATACTGATACTGGAAGAAATAAACGACCTGTACTAGAAGTAATAAATAGCAATACTCAGAAGCATTATGTACTATAAAAGCAATACATATTGACACTAGAGACAATAACTATTGATACAATGAAGAATCTATCCTGGAAGCAATAAATATCAAAGACACAATGAAGGAGCTATCCTGTAAGCAATAAATATCAATAGAAGATGCAATGAAGGAGCTATCCTGGAATTAAAGGAGAACTATGAGGCGAGTGCTTTTCACTCACCTCATAGTTCTAGCCGACCTGTGACAATGAGACTGTCACAGGTCGGCTCAGTAGATCGGGAGGTGAGCGAACACATACCGGCGTTCGCTCACCTCTCGATCCTGTCACAGCTCTCTGCCGTGACAGGGGAGGGGCTGGATTCCCCCCTCCCCTCTCCGATCCGCCAGCGCTGACTGGAGGAACAGACGGGGGAGGGGCGGGTACAGCTGGCTCTGCCTCTAGATAGGCAGAGCCAGCTGTCACTCACGCAGCTGGGCGGATCCAGACATAATTGTCGGATCCGCTTCAGCGTCTCAGTATAACGCGAGTAGAAGGAGCTATCCTGGAAGCAATAGATATCAATACAAGATGCAATGAAGGAGCTATCCTGGAAGCAATAGATATCAATACAAGATGCAATGAAGGAGCTATCCTGGAAGCAATAGATATCAATACAAGATGCAATGAAGGAGCTATCCTGGAAGCAATAGATATCAATACAAGATGCAATGAAGGAGCTATCCTGGAAGCAATAGATATCAATACAAGATGCAATGAAGGAGCTATCCTGGAAGCAATAGATATCAATACAAGATGCAATGAAGGAGCTATCCTGGAAGCAATATATATCAATACAAGATGCAATGAAGGAGCTATCCTGGAAGCAATAGATATCAATACAAGATGCAATGAACGAGCTATCCTGGAAGCAATAGATATCAATACAAGATGCAATGAACGAGCTATCCTGGAAGCAATAGATATCAATACAAGATGCAATGAAGGAGCTATCCTGGAAGCAATATATATCAATACAAGATGCAATGAAGGAGCTATCCTGGAAGCAATACAAGATGCAATGAAGGAGCTATCCTGGAAGCAATAAATACTGACACTAGGGGTAATAAAGTAATATAAAAGACAATTACATCTGATGTCCAGTCTGTGGTGGAAACATGCAAGGTACATGTAGTTCAATCACAGCACAGCACAGGGGATAGTGTAGACACCCCGTGTCCTCTCCCCATCCATCACCATACATTGAACCGTCAGTGATCGGTGGTGATGAGTTATTTCATAGTACTGCTCCTTGCTCTGATCTGTCCCACAAATAGTAATGTGTGTTATCAGGACTTCGGATTATAGTGAAGCATCCACATACCTGGGAGAGCCGATCTGACCTGAGATCCCGGTGTAGAGTACACAGACCCTGGCGTAGACACTGCGATCCTGTGTAGAGTCCCGGGAGCTGAGGCTGTACAATGTCCTCCTGTCAGTACACTGACTGATCCTTTGTACACAGTGCCTGCGTCATGTAGGAGTAGAGGAAGGAGCGGAACATGTTAGAAGCCCCCCACACCCCACCTGTCCTTGTGTATATGGAATGATCACCTCCTCCAGTTAGCTCTAGGAGTCCTGCCCAGCCCCCCTCCTCCTCCCTGTTCCTGGCTGACTTCCCTCCCAAACCTCGGATTAACGCCTATGTCTGCTCTCACATCCCTCTCTGTGTACACACAGCTCACTGTCATCTCTCAACTTCTCCCTCACACACATTCCGGGGAACAAACCAAATATCACCAACCTTCTCAGCACACTCTGCTGGAACTTGTAGTTCCTCACACACTTGTGGGGTCTGGAGATTACAGAGCTCGGAGTATTCCTCAAATGAACAAACTTTGTGACTGGCATAAAATTAATGAAGGAGTTTTGTGACTGGAATAAAATGAATGAAGGAGCTTTGTGACTGGCATACAATGAATGAAGGAGCTTTGTGACTGCAATAAAATGAATGAAGGAGCTTTGTGATTGGAATAAAATTAATGAAGGAGCTTTGTGACTGGAATAGAATGAATGAAGGAGCTTTGTGACTGGAATAAAATGAATGAAGGAGCTATGTGACTGGAATAAAAGAACAAGTTTTTTTAACTGGAATAAAATAAATGAACAAGCGTTGTGACTGGAATAACATGAACGAAGGAGCTTTGTGACTGGAATAAAATGAATAAACAAGCTTTGTGACTGGAATAACATGAATGAACAAGCTTTCTGAATAAAGTAACATGAATGAAGTACTTTGTGACTGGAATAAAATGAATGAAGGAGCTTTGTGACTGGAATTAAATGAACAAAGGGGCAATGTGACTGGATTAACATGATACATTGACTAGCTCTTCCGTGTTTTCACAGCAGTCAAGTATCAAGCTAATTTGTAACTTTTCAAGCATGAGTCCAGTGCGTCACTGATCCCTGAGTCCAGCCAGCGCGCCACTGATCCCTGAGTCCAGCCAGCGCGCCACTGATCCCTGAGTCCAGCCAGCGCGCCAATGATCCCTGAGTCCAGCCAGCGCGTCACTGATCCCTGAGTCCAGCCAGCGCGTCGCTGTGCTTCAGTGTTTGGCCCCGCCCCTCAAGTGCACTGTGACGACATGATGATGAGTTTATAAGTTAAATGTGTATTGGTTTTGGGTTATGTTTAAGTGCGTTATGCTGTGTGACCTGGTTATGAAAAGACTATCGGCACCAGCCCTCGTTATCTCCCTTTGTACTCTGAAGGAGCTCAGAACAATGACATTCTGGCCAGGCTCCTGCTATGGCTGTCTGGAGCTCGTTAGCAGGGGAAACCCTGTGGTGTTGAGCAGACCAATTGTCTGGCGAAGGCAGGGTGGATGTGATGGGATTATAATCTGATCTCATCACTTGCTGTATAAAAGTTTGTGCAGTCGGTCAATAAATCAGAGTTTGTTTCACCCTACACTCGTGCCTCGACCAGTGACTGGGGAAACTGAGAGCTAAAGATCTTCAGGTTGCAATATCTCCTCAGCAAGGAAGAATACAGCGGCAGACATATTCATCCTGAGTACGGGGGTCCGTCACATGCACCTCCATGTTTGGCCCCACCCCTGGATTGGGGTAGGGCCTTCGGAGTCACATGATTGGGCTATATGGAACAATTACCTGCAGTTTGGAATAGATGATTTTTGCTGGGCACAGGATAGATGCATCCAGTGACACTTATCTATCCTATGTACAATTATATGCGGCCTGCAGCTTACAGATGCAGCCGCTGTCACCCTGTCATTTACTTTATTGGGTACAGCGGCTGCATCTGAATAGGACACTTGGGATTCCTGCTGCAGGAATGCGTAGGTTCTTGCTGCACTAACACAAGATCATCCCATGTGAACGTAGCCTTATCACCCAGTTAGAATGCGGTCATAGTACAGAGAGCTGCTGTGTCCAGATACAGAGTTTAGCCGCCACTGAACACACTAGCCTATCCACCCTCATCCATCCATCTAAATGAGGCCTAAGAAGTAGGTCTAATTTTTTTGACTGAGGTTGTATTCTTGCTAGTACAGGCAGTCCTCGAGTTACAAACATCCGACTTACATACGACCCCTACTTACAAACAGAGGCTATTACTGTACAGCACGAGGAGTGCCCGCCTTTTTGGGTCTGGTTTGTAGTACTGAACGTACATTACAGGAAGTTGGCTCTTGTTAGACATGCAGACGAGGGGTTCCCGCCTCTTCTTCCGGGTCACTGTGAGGTTTTTACTGCTATCTGTATCCTCATTAGAAAGATTTAATCTCACTTCCTGTCCTTGAGACAACAGGAAGTGAGAGGAAATCTACCCCTAGGAAGGGAAATTCACTCCTGTAAGAGTTATCATGGCAAATAAGTGACTCCACTAAAGCTTTATCACCAATCCTTGTTTCCACGACAACCCAAAATGTTCAAAATCCAATTGTCACAGGGACAGAAAGTGAGGTGAAATCTTCGGAACAGGGGCACACACAGCAAAACAAACGTTACAGAGGGTTAACCCTTCCCTATGCTATCCAAAACAAGAAAACTTTTTTTGGCTGGCATTACACTTAAGAAATGTACCTGTTCCAACTTACAAACAAATTAAACTTAAGAGCAAACCTAGAGTCCCTATGTTGTTCGTAACACGGGGACTGCCTGTATTCACACAGACTACTACAGACTGGAATCAGTCAGGAGTATGTAATAGACAGCAGAACTTAAGGCCGTGACACAGTGCACGCGAAGCGGCGTGGAGCACAGGCGAGCTGCGACTCACGGCCCTTCGCGAGCAGTGTGTCTAGTGATTTCCGATCCCCCGCTCTGCCCGGCGACAGCGTGCCTAGCGCAGGGTCGAGAGATGAAAAAGTTCATCTCTAGCCAATCACAGCACGAGATTCAATGAAGGCATCACAAAGCGTCCACACGCGACCAGCCAATCAGAATAGTAGAAAAATGTCACCAGCACACCATGAGTTGAAAAAGCAAAATATTTTATTGCCAATAGCTGTATCTCATTGGCAAGCGCTTTCGGGGCCTCGCAGGGTCCCCTTCATCAGGCTCAGAGATAACAGTGAAGTGAAAGACCTACAACAATATATACCTAGACATAGCAATCAACTGGGTTCTGTGAAACCACTCCCATCCACCTAGGGCGTCGGTATGACATCACACCTGCCGTTAAGTATTTGAAAAGGACGTGTGCAGAATGATGTAAATACCAGCCATATCTATTAAACCATCAGTGACTCCCAACAGCACATATAAGTGTGACTCACCCAGGGTCAGTAGCCCAAGGGCTCACAATGCGAATTTTACCTTGAGCATTGGGGTGATAGTAAACCACTCATACAGTCAGTTTGATCATAAAAGTTAGATCAAACGCTGGCTGTTAGGTGTATAATTACTGTGGGAGGTGCCGAATGGAAAAAAAGGCAATGTGTGGCGGTGCCATCCGCAGTCATTTCGAGCACCCATCTTCATCAAGTGGGAATCCCGGTAAGGAGTGCGGTATGGTTCCTGTTTCTGTTCAGCCAATCAGAATCACTCAGTTCTTCTCTGTTTCCAAAAGCGTCTGGTCAGTCCAGAAGAGAAGTTTGTGTGGTATGTTCTCTTCCAGCCTAGTGCTATCCTATCCAGCTCTCATCTAAGGCACTTTTTAAAGAAATAAATACATTTATCAACATTTAATTATATAATGAAATATATGATATACTAAATAATATGTTTAATAATTTTTTTAATTAAAAATCAGCCATACCATGTTGACCTCCCACCATATATGAGGTATATCCCCCTTTGCCAAAACAGCACTGACTTGGGATGTACCAATATCGATACCAGTGTTGGTATCGTTGCCAATACTAGGCATTTTCATGAGTACTCTACTCCAAAGAAATGCCCCAATAAAACTAATAATGGTACTTTAATGTTTTAATTATTTTGGCTGCCGTAAGGTCTCGCACTTGCTGGAGACCTCAGGGTAGCCTTGTGGGGACCTTCCCGGCGCTAGTACACAGCACTGGTCAGGCCCACATGTATACCTCCTCCCTCCTGCCGCCCACACAGTACTGAAGGCAGTGGCGTAACTAGGACCTCCAAGGCGCAAGAAACCATGAAGGGCCCCTTCCCAACCCCCCTCCGGCATGGCACCGTGTGGTTAACAGGAAGGCTGCCGAGGTCCCCAGCAAGCGCAGGACCTCAAGGAGCCACTTGTTTAAAATTTAGTGCTGCTGTTCTGTCAAGAACGCCGACCCAGTATCTGTGCTTACGTACAGACGGGATTAACGAGGAAACCGGCATTTATTTACAAAGTATTTGTTTGTAATGGTTAATATTGACTGTTAAGAATATGCCATCCATGGCAGCAAATGATGGGTGGCAGTAAATGTTGGATGGCATATTATTAACGGTCACAATTAACAATTTAAACGAAATACTTTGTGAATAAATCCCTGTTTCCTCGATGATAATATTGGTGAAGTCGGCAAATTCGACTACATCAGCGTTCTCGACAGAACAACGGTATCTGCGTTTAGTATCGGGGCATTTTGAGGAGCATGAGTACTTGTGAAAATTCCCAGTATTGGCACTGGGGTATCTCTACTTAAAAATATAATGCATTGCTGTGACTTGTAGTCCTACATAGTTGGTGCTATTCTTCATTGCTGTATAATCATCATACAGCAATGCAGAATATCACCAGCTATGCGGGACCACAGGTCCCAGCAATACATTATAATAAAAGTCAGCACTACAGAATATCACCAGCATCCCCCCACACTTCCCCGTGCACCCCTTCTCCAACTGCAGACTTACCTTTCCTCTTCTGCAGGGCAAATGCTGCCCGGCGGTGCCTGCAGTGCATTCTACGGGACCAGTGTGA